ACTGCTCTTGACAGCCAAATTTTTTCTTGCGAAATGTGGTTATATTATTTACTCTAGTGGACTTTTGTGACATTAGACATATTGTGGGAACCTGTAAAATATTCCGAGTTCTCGGCTTTTCGTGATATACAATACGTGGAAGCATAATTTACACTCGTTTGATCAGCTGTTTGACCACACGTTTTCTCGCGTAGACAGGCCTCATTTCACTGCTTATTTTATGACTTTGTATGAATTGCCCAAGGAAAAGGTGAGAACTCGGAACTTTTTACAAGTATGTTGAAGTGATTTCGAGTGCTGTTTGTCAAGAATATCTTTTTACTTAGATATGGCACGCAAGAATTCTTGACGTGCCGTTTCTCGCTTCTGACGTCATAAAACCAATATGGCCGCGGCGAGGGGCCAGGAGCCTTAAAATGTTTGTTTTACTCCCACGACTTTTTGTCCATTATTTTGTTAAGATTACAAATTTCCATATATGTGTGAACAGTTCTGTATTGTACTCAATTAGCACAATCCAGCACAACTTTACACTTTTTTCCAATTTTATCAAAATTACAAATTTCTATATATCTGTGAATAGTTCTGTTATTCTCGATTAGCACGACCAGCACAACTAAAGAATTTTCAAAAATGTGAAATTTTTGTTTTACCCCTATAACTTTTTATCAATTATTTTGTCAAAATTGCAAATTTCCATTCATCTGTGAACAGTTATTTATAGAATTCAGTTTATAGAAATCAATTAGCATAACTCAGCACAATGCGCAGAATTCAATTATCTATCACGTTTCAATTATCTATCAAAATTTTGAATTTGTAACTTAAGTTACAAGGTAGTGAAATTTTAAAAAACAGGTCAACAGAAAAACTGATACCGAGATTTGGCTGTACTGGGGACAGTGATTGTCTAACGTCAATTTGCCATTAGGAAAAATTGTTGTACTCAGCACAATCCAGCATAACTGAAGAAATGTAAAAAATATAAAATTTTTGTTTTACCCCCACGATTTTTTGTTCATTATTTTATTAAGATTGCAAATTTATCACACGTGTCAACAATTCTCTATTGTACTTGATTAGCACAATCCAGCACAACTCGCAGAACTCAATTATCTGCCACAGTAAAAAAGTTATAATTAAATATCTTGGCTGAAAATTTGACATTTTAATTTTTTTTTTCTCTTGAACAGGAAGGGGTAGAGTTATCACCTTTATGGCACCACATATAGTAGCCCAAGCTGTAACCAGTACAATTTTTGTTTTTTTTTTAAATAAAATAGCGGTGCAGGTAAAAAAATTGACTTTTTTAATTTTCCGTTTTGTTCTTTGAGGTAGGCGATTTATTTTTGCGGCACAGCATAGCACAACTCGGCACAATTTCGTTCTTCTCTGATTTTCAAAATGGCGGTGCTAACTTCACACACATGATAACTTCAATGTATTAAATGGAATACATTTATAATGCGTAGAAGTTGATGCTCGAAATACATAGTTATTCGTCATTTGTCTTCGAAAAGGTTATAATACATTAATATAAAACTTATTATAAGAAATATTAAATTATCATTGAGTACAAACATGATATTAAAATAGTATTAAAAATAACTATAAAGACATAAATATTTGTTTACGTACCTTGCGATTTGTTTACGTACCTTTTACGAGACGCCGTTCATCCGCCGGCTCCCGACACACGATCTCCCGAACGCGAGAGGTTGGGCGCCAGGTGCGGAAACGGTCGCACCACCGCACAAAGAGAGATCGCGAACAAACAAAACTCAACCGAAGATCGTTAATCGGCGAGTCGTGTCTGGGGCCGTGCGGGACCGGTAGCCCCGGGAAATTTTAGAGTCGGAGACGGGACGGGTTCGTCGGAAACGGGAGGAAAACAGGGAAAAGAAAGGAGACAAATGACAAGTCGAGTATCCGTGGTCGTAGACGAGTTTTATTAGAGCGCGGCTCCCCGCCCTGAGATCGGACGCGCTACACAAAATCGGAATCGACGGCGCTAAGGACGAATTGTACGCCGTCCGCGACAATAGGCGAGTCGGTAAAGAGCCCAGGGCCGGCCCCTAGGTTCCGAGATTTCGCGGCCGCTCCGCGGACGAGACGATATTACAGAACGATATTAAGAGCAGATAGGAGGTCTTACAATATGCGGTGGCTCGCCCTTCATGAGGTCCCCGGGGTTGCAGATCTCTCCGGTCACGCACTCCACTTGGCTCCGTCGGTCCTCTCGCTCGCTCGTCCTCGCTCGTCCTCGCTCGTCCTCGCTCGTCCTCTCTCTCTCTCTCTCTCTCTCTCTCTCTCTCTCTCTCTCTTTCTCTGGG